TCAGCATGCTAAATTGGTTTTAAGTGGCCCAAAGTGTAGCAATAAATATCCCCCAAATAGATGGTAGCTTGAATTGATTTATTTAATTAAAGTACGCTAGATTACTGTGTATGCAAATGTTATGTAAAAAAAATACACAAAATAATTTACTTCAAAAATTAGTTTTAATCAGAATCAGTTGGCTGTAATGGTTAATTTTTTTTTTTAGATTTCCACTTTTTTTTTTTTTGTTATTGAATATATAAGAAAACAATAACAATCTTAAACAACAAGTCAATAACAAATATTTCAATACAAGAAGAAATATCACAACTCCTGCTTTTGAAAAATAAAATTAAATGCACAGGCTGGAACAAAGTATAAAATAAAATAAAATAAATAAAAATAAATAAAATAATAATAGTAGTTAAAGTAAATTAATCAGTGGGGACTACCAACTGAAATTCTTCAATTAACTCAAACAATTTAATTGCATTTAAATTCTGCATCTTTCTCAGACATCTTTTGAAAAGGGAAAGTTCATTTTTGAGAGCAGAGATTGGGAGGGAGCATTTTGCATAGCGACATTTATGGATATAATACTTTGTTACAATTATTAGAATATTGATTAAAAATTCCAAATTTTTTTTTCTTTAATGGATAAACCGAATTGAATGTTTTGCCAGGAAATAAAATCTAAATTTATTGTTTTAGTTTTTGGGAATATATACAAACTATGCTCTAATTTCTAGATACCGATCTGTTTTTACTATAATTTAATTTGACAAACCGGGTCTTCTCTACATTCTTTTTTCTGTTTGGTGCGATTGCAATAGCGGGTCTTGATCTGGACGGACCGGAGGGGAGCAAAAAATAGCTCAGCTCCGTATTTTGACGGTGAAGGACGGAGAAGACGTATGTGGGCGGTGACGAGCGGAGGATGGTGACCAGCTCTCATTGATTTACATGACAGACAAGTAATACAGATAGTAGGATGGACATTTTATGAGAAATAAATCATACACTGTTCAGAATACGAAACATGGGGCTGATAGTTACATTTGTGTGGGTTCCAGCACATATTGGGGTGGAAGGAAACGAGAGGGCAGATAAAATGGCAAAAAGGGCAATTAAACATTCGATTAGTTTTATAGTTAAAATAAGTAAATCAGAAGGAAAGAGTATTATTAAAGAGAAACTTATGGAAATTTGGCAAAAAAGGTGGGATGAAGATAAAACAGGAAGATGGTTTTATAAAATTCAGAAGATGGTAGGAGAAAGAAGAAATGGAAGAAGAAATAGAAAGGATGAAAGAGTGATAACAAGGTTAAGATTTGGTCATACAGGACTTAATCATACACTTTTTAAAATACAAAAACATAAAACGGGCAAATGTGATTTCTGTGATAAATATGAAACCATAGAACATGTTATATTAGAATGTCATAAATATGAAAAAGAGAGAAGATATATGAGAAGAGAGTTTGAAGACATTAAGGAGAAGGTTAATTTATTAGATATACTGAGGAAAAATTTAGGGAGTAAACACATACAAATAATTATTCGATTTCTAAAGAAAACGAAATTATTCCATAGAATTTAATTATAGTAAGTGTGTTTGTGAGTGAAGGAATGATATACAAAGCTGTGCACAAATATGTTTATATTTTTAAGTGTGAATGTTTGAATGTATGTTTAGAAGAAGTTAGGGTAGAATGTATCAGGATCAATATTTAAACCATCACGAACCACACTCCATACCAGTAAGTGGCGGTAATGCTACTAACAGTTTGTTGCCAACCGCCATAAAACTCGACAAGAAGAAGAAGAAGACAGACAAGTACTCCGTACGTGAGCGGGGCGGAGCGCTGACAGAGTATGTGGAATCTGGGGGTAAAGGAGGACAAATACACGTCCGGCTGGGTGCAACGCCGGACAGTGCAATGAAAATCCGGACTGTCCGCCCTAAAGCCGGACATCTGGCCACCCTATCTGCAGTCGAGCAACTTTGCGGGATATACGAACTCGAGGAAGAGAAGACGGGTGCACAACGCCACGCTAGCGGTAAATATTTGTTTGATTACTGGTAGCTATGCTAAAAGCAGCCTAGCTTAGCTAGGCAAGCTAAAGACAGCCTAGCCTAGCTAGGTAAGCTAAAAGCAGCCTAGCCTAAAGCTTTACTAAAGTGTATTTTTTGTGATTCACAGGAAGCATTATGCCGTCTTAACAACTCGGAGACTAATTGCAGGCGCTATGAACCGGCAGGGGTAAGGTTTAAAGAATATGCTTTCATTCTGCGGTAAAAGGACATGGATACGGATGGATACCGACCATAGCTGTACTTTTTTTTTTTCTTTCACAGACTACAGTCGCCTCACAATGAGGCGGTGACCTCCTATTTGCTCGGATTTGCACGATGTTGATAAAGACGACATTTTGTGTAAGTGACTTGTTTTAATGTTTTCTCCTTCCTTGTTACTGTGACTTGCGTTTGATTTTTTTAATTTTTTTATTCATACCACTCTCATTTAATTGTTTTCCAGCTGCCTGTAAGACGTATTATGAGACGGTATGCAGGAGCTTCAGATACACGCTGCTAGCCAGCACGCTGCGTGCGGAGGCTGCCAGGCTATCTGACAGACGAAAGAGGGTAAGACTTTATTTGGTGACTATTTTTCAGGTGCATTGATAGATGTGTTGTGTCCATATGCAGTGCGCTGATTCATGTTTTTTTTTTTTCAGCTGCTGAAGGCGAGGCAGAGTGTGCTGGCAGATGAGGAAGTGGAACTCTGGAAGTCCGCCACCGTCGACCTCATGTCCGACGAAGAAGATGGCGTCGTCGGCGGTGTCTCTGGATGGATTGTACGGTCGCCGCCATTACGTAGGCCGGATCTCACTGAACTCTGTGTTAAGCTGCAGTCCTGCTGCACATCGGACCTGCCTCGGAGGGAATGCTGCCAGTTACCTCCAACCCCGAGGAAGCAAACGGACCGTTCACGGAGTTGTAATTTTTAGATACACATGTGTTTGGATACGCGTTGTATATAGTTGTGTGTGTTTTAATAAAGCTCTTTCTTTGCATAAACAGCTTCCTGGCAAATCTTCATTTCCTGTATAAATTCATTCATGTCCTTGATGGTAGCATAATAATTGTGTAGTAGTGTAGGATAACATAAATACACAGCATATGAATGAATAAATATATGAATGAATAAATATATGAATATATATATATATAAATGAATAAATATATATGAATAAATATATATATGTAAATATATATATATGCCAACCAATCACGAGCGACTTTACTTGTTTAAAAAGAAGTGGTTCCGTCCAATACTCAGTAAGAAAATTAAAGCCTGGCGTGGCCACGTGTGGTTTTGCTGCCAATCACGAGCGACTTCACTTGTTTGAGAATAGTGGTTTCAGCCAATACTGAGAAGGTTATTCAAGCCAGACCTGGCCAGCCGCGCTGGTTTGCTGCATTCATATGCTAATTAGGGCCATTAGTACAGCTGATCGCTCTCCACCTACGTCACTGTCCGTTTCCGACAATTTGTGGCACGACAAACGCGGACAAGCACGGGTTGCAAATTGTCGGAAACTGACGAAAATCAGGCAGATCTGCAGGAGTTTACGGGGGATTACGGGGACGAAAATCTCACTTTTCATGCAGTGGCATATGCATGCGTTTTGAATAAAAATGCTCATATTATTATCATCATTTATTACCATTTTGCCCCTTTGGCAGAATTCTGACTCACTTAGAGATTTCTCTTTTACATGTTTGCTGTTTTTGAGCTAAGGTTTTCTTTTCTTCTCACCACTCATGTGGAAATTCTCTGTTGTTTCTATGGACCTCTTGGCCTGTTTGCCTGAATAATGAGCACCAGATGAGCCTGTTATTGGTGTAATCATCTGCCATCCCCTGCTTTGTGAACTACTTTCTGTTGATCCAGCACATAAAACACCCCACCAAACAACCCTGATGTTTGAGGTAGTAACAGAACAAACTCAGTACTTAAGGCTAACCTGCAGCTTCCAGTAAGGTAAGGTGAGGGTTACCCGGTGCATGTGCAGGCCTATATTTGTGTCTGCACAGGTGCGTTCACTCAAAAACAGAGACATATTGTAGAGATAAGTGAGCTGCAGATTAGCAGGGACATCACTGTCCACCCTCCGTTCTCCAGCCTCGCCCTCCTTCCACTCTAATCGCATGTCTAATTGACTCAGCCAGATTTGGCAAGAGGCTTATTACTGTCATTTCACACAACAAGGAATGACCTATGCAGATGGCGCAGCAGTGACAGTCAAGATGGAGAGCACACTTTACGGCTGGAATCCAATATAACCTATAAACAGAGCATTCATTCATTCCAGTGTTTAAGTGGCATCCCTTTCCTACTAAGAATGATGCCTAATCTAAGTATGAGGTTCTGCAGATGTATATTTCTCAGTGAACCCTAAGCCTGAAGTAAAAGTTAGATTTTGTTTTTACATTTTTAGAATAAAAATTGGTGGCCATGTGTTTGAGGGGGTTGATCAGGGTGGGTATATGAAATGTGGGTTATTAACCTAGTTGTTATTTTAGCATTTTAAACACTTTTTTGTCAAGGCAAAAGGCAATTAAAGGCAAATTTATCTGTATAGCACAATTCAGTACAAAGACAATGCAAAGTGCTTTACATGATTAAAATATAGGAAAATAACACAGAATCAAAGCAAGCAGGAATAAATAAATAAATAAATAAAAAATAAAATAAAAAATGCAGAAACAAAAAAGAATATTAAAAACAGTCGGACTAAAGAAAATAAAAAAGTTGAAATAATGATGTTTCAGTTGAACTGTTTATCCATAAATATGAATTTAAAAGAGAGGAAGACATGTTTATTTTGTTTTGCTTTGTGCATTTTTTGCACTTTTTTCCATTATGAGATGAACATAAATAATGGCCAGTTTCAATGAGTTACATTTATTTTCAGTCTTTTATTGCCTTTGTCTTGTTATTTTTTATTATACTGTATAGAGCTGTTTCCTGCTTTCCATTCCTATCATATCTACAGACAGTTTTTCTTCACATTTTACTTTTAAACTGTATCATATTCTGGCATTCAGCTGTGCGCCACCCAGTGATTTTGTGCCCCCTTTACTCTGCGCCCCTTAAAAAACTTTCTGTAGCCACTGTTGGAATGAATCCAGCTTTGGGTGTCTGTGCAGCAGATCTTACCGCTGTGAGCGCTGAACCAGCGGGGTGCGATGTGCAGGGGTAAGGTGTCAGCCAGCGACCCCCGGGACCCCAAATAGAGCACCCCGTCCGTGTGATGCCCTCCGCCCCCAGTGTCCTGGTAGCCGGTGCCATGCGGGGCCGCCGTAGTGCCCCCTGACCCCCCACCGGCGCGCTCCGAGTCCGTCCCTCTGGGGGTGTAGAAGCCGAAGGGCACGGCGGGACTGTGCTCGATGCCCATCCCGGCCACGGAGCTCACCGAGCGGCTGCGCAGTCCCATGGTGCCGCTCGGCCGGTAGTGACCGAAGTGGGCCGATGGAGGCACCGCGCTGTCATCCGAAGAGACGCCGGGAAAAGCACCCCGGGGCCGCCCTGCCGTGCTCTGCTTTCCCCCCATCCAAAGCGGGAGAGAAGAGGGTGGGGGTTTTGGTTGGATCGAGAGAACCCAAACAGGCTGTGCCCCCCCCCGTCCCTCCCCTCGCTCCTGTCTGTCTGTCTGTCTGTCCGTGCGTCTCAGCTCTGACTCTCTGCAGACGCAACAGCGCGTTTCCCTGCTGAGCGGCACATGCGCCAGCCCTCACGTCTGGATTCACCTCAACCCGCAGGCAAATGATGACAACTGAATGATTAGAAACCCAAACCGGAGGGGTGGTGGTGGTGTAGGTGGGGGGCTGCTGAGCGCAACCAAACCCCTGCAAGGTTAAACAGATGCGCGCCGCTCCCCGGCGCTGCCCCAGCTGCTGAATCACCCCGGCCGGCCCGGTTCACAGGAGCGCCGCAGTCTCTCCACTCATCTGATCTCAGACATCGTGACAACTGTTGCTGTCTGTCTGGAGGAAAAAAAACAAAAAGAAAAGACGGTCTGTCTTAGGAATAAATGACGTCGTCACCAAACGCTGGTCCGGTCCGATAAGCTCCAACCAGACGACACTATCCTCCGCCTCATATCCCCCCCACCCCCCACCGCTTCCCCGGAGATCGGGGTCACAGTGAAGCCGCTCCCCCTGCGCTCAGATCGGGCGCTCCTCTCAGCTCCTCTCCGCTGCTGCTCCTGGACAGACAATGGACGCGCTCAGTGCGCAAGCTCGGATCATCGACACAGACAGACCGAAAGACGGAGCGGAGACACTTGGTTTTAATTCCTCAGCCTGGGATTTTGCCTGGATTTGTTTTCTGCGCGTGGGGGGGCATTTTAGGATAACCTGTGACAGGTGTGGTGAGGCCAGCGGTAGCTGAAGAGGGGTTGGGTTATGTGCATCAGTCCTTGAAGGAAGAAAGTGATTAAATGTGCAAACCTTCCAAGCTTCAAACTGTTTCCCATTAAATTGAATAGGGTCTCCATCATTTCTATAACAGTTTTGCTCTATTTTCTCCTTTTTGTGTGCAGGCTCATATAGGTTTAATGTGATATTAATATTAATATCAGCCCTATCACATTAATATTGATATTAATGTGATAGGGCAGCCCACTTTACTTAGAATCAGTGGCAAAAGAAACAGATCATCTAAATGTGAATGTTTAGGTGTTTAACATTGATGGGTTTTTATTATTTTAAAACACTTTCAGGGTTTGGTTGAGGTTTTGAGGACCCAAATGCAGAGGTGAGTTCTTGAAGATTTAATGAAATAACTGAAGTGAAAATCCAAAGTACAAAATACAAGCAACCAAACACCAGAATACTTCAAGGGAAGCTGAGGGGAGCCAGGAAAAGATGAGGAAGCAGCACTGAGGAACTGCACAGGGAGAGTATATATGGGAGACTGAACAAAGACAGGACTAATGAGCTGATTGGGAGCAGGTATGAACTCTAGAATGAGTCTAGAAAGGAGCTAGGGAAAAGGAGACCAACACCAGAGGGCAAACAAGAATACCTAAGAACTCAAATACATCCAGAAAACACCATAAAATAGGAATTAAATCAATAAAACTAGGAAACAAAGAAAAAAATGGATCAAAATGAAACTGAAAACTCAAAAGAAAACGTAAACAGAACCAAGACCATGACAAACATTGAATATTCTGATGTTGATGTTAAGGTCAACAAAATAAAGAAGTCAAGTCCCCAAACTGTAGTTATGATCCAAAATGCTGCAGCCAGAGTTCTGATGAAAATGAAAAAGAGAGATCATATCTCTCCTATCCTGGCTTCTCTTCATTGGCTTCCTGTTAAATCAAGAATAGAATTTAAAATCCTCCTTCTCACATATAAAGCCTTAAATGGCCAAGCTCCATCTGATATCAGAGATCTGATTGTTCCTTATGTTCCTAACAGAGCACTTCGCTCTCAATCTGCAGGTTTACTAGTGGTTCCTAGAATTTCTAAAAGTAGAATGGGAGGCAGATCTTTTAGTTATCAGGCTCCTCTCCTGTGGAACCAACTACCAGTTTTAGTCCGTGAGGCAGACACCCTGTCTACTTTTAAGGCTAGGCTTAAAACTTTCCTTTTTGATAAAGCTTATAGTTAGAGTGGCTCAGGTTATCCTGAGCTATCTCTATAGTTCTGCTGCTATACAGGTGCTGGTCATAAAATTAGAATATCATGAAAAAGTGGATTGATTTCAGTAATTCCATTTAAAAAGTGAAACTTGTATATTATATTCATACATTACATACAAACTCATATATTTCAGATGTTTATTTTGTTTAGTTTTGATGATTACAAATGACAACAAATGAAAATCTCAAATTCATCATATCAGAAAATTAGAATATTGTGAAAAGGTTCAAAATTGATGGCCCCTGGTGCCACACTCTAATCAGCTAATTAACTCAAACCACCTGCAAAAGCCTTTAAATGGTCTTTCAGTCTAGTTCTATAGGCTACACAATCATGGGGAAGACTGCTGACTTGACAGTTGTCCAAAAGACGACCATCGACACCTTGCACAAGGAGGGCAAGACACAAAAGGTCATCGCTAAAGAGGCTGGCTGTTCACAGAGCTCAGTGTCCAAGCACATTAATAGAGAGGCGAAGGGAAGGAAAAGATGTGGTCGAAAAAAGTGTACAAGCAAGAGAGATAACCGCACCCTGGAGAGGATTGTGAAACAAAACCCCTTCAAAAATGTGGGGGAGATTCACAAAGAGTGGACTGCAGCTGGAGTGAGTGCTTCAAGAACCACCACACACAGACGTATGAAAGACATGGGTTTCTGCTGTCGCATTCCTTGTGTCAAGCCACTCTTGAACCACAGACAGCGTCAGAAGCGTCTTGCCTGGGCTAAAGAGAAACAGGACTGGACTGCTGGTGAGTGGTCCAAAGTCATGTTCTCTGATGAAAGTAAATTTTGCATTTCCTTTGGAAATCAAGGTCCCAGAGTCTGGAGGAAAAGAAGAGAGGCACTTCATCCACGTTGCTTGAAGTCCAGTGTAAAGTTTCCACAGTCAGTGATGGTTTGGGGTGCCATGTCATCTGCTGGTGTTGGTCCATTGTGTTTTCTGAGGTCCAGGGTCAACGCAGCCACATACCAGGAAGTTTTAGAGCACTTCATGCTTCCTGCAGCTGACCAACTTTTTGGAGATGCAGATTTCATTTTCCAACAGGACTTGGCACCTGCACACAGTGCCAAAGCTACCAGTACCTGGTTGAAGGACCATGGTATCCCTGTTCTTAATTGGCCAGCAAACTCTCCTGACCTTAACCCCATAGAAAATCTATGGGGTATTGTGAAGAAGAAGATGCAATACACCAGACCCAACAATTCAGAAGAGCTAAAAGCCACTATTAGAGCAACCTGGGCTATCATAACACCTGAGCAGTGCCACAGACTGATCGACTCCATGCCACGCCGCATTGCTGCAGTAATACAGGCCAAAGGAGGCCCAACTAAATACTGAGTGCTGTACATGCTCATACTTTTCATGTTCATACTTTTCAGTTGGCCAACATTTCTATAAATCCTTTGTTTTTATTGGTCTTCAGTAATATTCTAATTTTCTGATATGATGAATTTGAGATTTTCATTTGTTGTCATTTGTAATCATCAAAATTAAACAAAATAAACATCTGAAATATATGAGTTTGTATGTAATGTATGAATATAATATACAAGTTTCACTTTTTAAATGGAATTACTGAAATCAATCTACTTTTTCATGATATTCTAATTTTATGACCAGCACCTGTAGGCTTAGACTGCTGGAGGACATAGGCAGTGTTGGGAAAGTTCTCTTTCTACGTGAACTAGTTCAAAGTTCAGTTCACACATTTTAAAATGAACTAGTTCAGTTCATAGTTCACAATTCCAAAAAACGAACTAGTTCATAGTTCTTTTTTTTTTTCATATATTGCTCAATTACACCATAGCCTACTGTAGAACCAAAGACAGCAATTATTTTATCAGTTGTAACTCTGAAACTGTGCGTCAGATTTCATCTTCATATCCAGTTTTGAATCCTTATCCAACCAGGGTTTACATTAGCATTGAGGGGACAGCATTTCCCCATTGTTGCTTTAACGCTTTGTTGCTGTCCATTCACTTCACACTAGTAGCAGCTGCAGCTTTCACCCCTACAGTATATTCTCAAAAACATCAGGAAAAATGTGCTGCTTGAATGGTCTTTTTTATGAGTAATTATTAAAAGAAAAATAGGAAAGTAGTCTTTAAGGTGCAAATGTTTTTTTTTTATTTTAATATTTTTTTCCATTTGAAATTCCATTTCAATACATACTAAAAAGGAATACTGGAATCCTGGAAAATTATACCGGGCAGGTTTAACAAACAAGTTACATGGATAGTAAAACCCTCAAGAACAGGGGTCTTCTATGTTTTCCAGACCAAGGACCCCCAAACTGATGGCGAGATGGAGCGGGGACCCCCTAACTATATATATTGTATGAAATTGTGTCCTATAGTCACTCTATTACAGATGGAGTAATGTAAAGAAATTAATTTCTCCCTGGGATTATTAAAGTTTTTCTGATTCTGATTCCTGGTTGATGGGACAGGTGTTGTGAAGGAAACTGTGCCCAGCTTGAAAGAGCTCCTGTGTGTCGCTGAATGTGAGCACTGATGACTGAAAGACATCTTCTGCCTCCATTTATCTGTTTACTACAGTGTGTTGATTTCATGTTAATGAGTATTTAAAGACATTTCAATTAGTGGGGGAAAAAATGCAGGGGGGGGGATATAAAAATATCAACTAACCATGCAGACCCTCATGCAGTACCTCCGTAGACCCTCTAGGGATCGCGGATCCCCTGGTGAAGACCTCCGCTCAAGAAGATTTTACTAACACAAACTGAGGGACCAGGCTGAGGTAGGAATTTAAGGTTACTGAAGTGCGGATTTTTTTACTGAAAGCCGGCGGGCAAACTTGTTGCCATCATCCTCACCGACCACCTGGTCATAGACCTGTTTTAAGTCGCCTCCATGCTGCTGTGGCTTCCACGCTGCATTTTGTTTTGATGACGCACGCGGCTGTAGGCTACGACGCTGGTAGCTGGTGTTGCCAGATTGGGTGTTTTTCCCGCTACATATTAAGGCCTGTTTACGGTGTGATTTAGCCGGGGTTTCGCCTGGAGGGCTTTATAGAAATCTGGCAACCTATTGAACGGAGTTGAACTGAGAGAGCGTGCCGTTCACAGACACCAGAATGAACGAGTTCACAATAACGTTCATCAGGCAGTAATGCAGTACGTTCAGTTCACGTTCGCCCAAAATATGAACGAGTTCATGAACTTTCGTTCAATGAACGCGTTCAGGCACAACACTGGACATAGGGACCCCCATTTCATCATTCTGCTTCATTCTATCTCTATTCTCCCACTCTGCAGAATCTGTTACTTCAATCTCTAACGTTCTGCTCTCTCTGCTTTTCCTCCCTCAGAGTAGCTTTGCCTCATCTGTTCCTGTTTGGCTGTGACTCCATCCTGGAGAGAAACATCAGCTGTGCTGCTGCCATCAACACCTTTGTTTCTAGATGTTGGAGATCAGTCTGTTTTTCAGTGTGGTCCTGTTTCTCTGACTGTGACTAACTGGATGTGCTCTCTTCGTCCTCTGACATGGGAGCTGCCTTGGAGCTCGTCTGCCTGGCTGTGTGTTTCCTGGACGGGGCCGCCTGTGGAGCTGGATGACAGTTGCCTTTTGTATCTATGCTTCTTTTTCTATGTCTGCTTCTGTCTCCTTGAA